TTGTCGGATTTCCAGTTGACGACGACTCGCAATGAATCCTCGCGACATGTACAATCATTCACATCTCATTGATAAATTAATTCAAGCGTCGCGCCCGATATATCTATTTCACTTGGAAAGTAAAAATCTTTTACTCTTGGACGGGAGATTTCTTAGCCAAAGACCGAAAAACAAAATGAAGAACAAAATGCTGGAATTTAATGTATTGAAAAGTAAATATATAGTAGGAGTGATCGATTCTCAGGTGGTCCAGTTCCCACTCAAGAATCGAGAACACCTGAGAATGACCGATTCTCAATTTCTAGAATCGAAAATCAGACCGGTAACTCTTGGGACCGGATGGGACCAGATCAATCCGGTTCCCTGATTGGCTAATAGAATCAGTGACATGTTTTGTTTTTTATTTTTTTTGAATTTGAAGTTATATTCTTTCTTGTGCGTTCCAAGCATAAACTTCCAATTATCTTTCTCGTAAAATGGGCACATCCCTTTTAACTCTCCCGATATGCATGTCAATTTGTCTGGACACATTGTTTTTATAGTTATTGCTGTTGCAGGACTCCTGTCTCTTTCTTAGCTTGCCTTTGGACACCAAAATGAAATACTTGGAAAGCTTATGTGATGTGAGCATGCACCATCTCCTTCCACCACAGGCAAAAATTCATCACAAGGCAGTGAAGTGAATTTAAGTTCATCTATAGCTTTTGATGTTTGGGACCATATTCTAAATCAATGATCAGAAGCTATTTTAACAGAACATAAATTAAGGCTTATTAGTTTTTACATATTTATAAGAAATTTAAATAAAAAAAATATCGATTCGATCTGAGTAATCTGGTGGGTAGTTCCACATATGGAACCAGGAACCGGATTGAAAATTACCGATTCTAATTACCACCCAAAATCGATCAGTATGAGCAATTTCTTTTGTTCACCCCTAATGTACAGGAAGATAAAGATAAATAAATGTCATTGAATCATGTCAAGGAAATTGTGCTTTCCCCTTTACAATATTCAATGTGGGTATCATAGCCCCCTAATAGTAATTAGCCACAAATAGTTACTACTATCTACTATGGTTACTGCCACACATCCTTCAAGATTATTGGCATGCTTTTAAAACTCTAACGGTCACTATCCACAAGAAGTCGCAACTTCTGAAGTCGTCACTTAATGTCGAGTGTCGACACATCTTATATATTATCCAGTTCCAACACTTATAGTGATAAATCCACGGTCAATATCAACTAGCGACATCGCCGGTCGACACTTTCTCATTCACCATCGACACTCTTACTCACGAGTTGTTGACCAGCGTCCTTCATATCAACCCCTCCTTCACAAACGATCTCTTGAATCGTTCGACCAAGCTTATCACTCGTCGTTAACAAAAGCCAGTCACCTTTCGGCGCAAACACTATCCAAACCCTCCTCCCTCGCCTATCAAAAAGACAGTAAATCAAAACGCTCGATCGAACCCATTTCGATCGGAACAAATAATTCAAAACGCAAGATATCTTTGGAGGATAGAGATCCTCTCCTACAATTCAACATCAAACATTACAATTATTTAAATCCACAGATTCAAAAAGGAGGGCTGTCGGCCTGTCACGTCGTATTTAAGCATGTGGCACTGGACAACAACGAAAGCACAACCAAAGTCAAGGTCTTCCTCTCATATCTGTTGCGTGTACGTATACTTCCACCTCCAAGATCGCTCATGCAGCAATCTTGCGTGCTCAAACTTGCACAACAACCACCGGTCGTTGTTTTCTCGAGCACAGATTGCATCATGTGAGGATTCCTTTTCTCTTTTTGATCTTCCCGATGAGCAGAAAAAACGGAGCATCAAAGAAACTTTGTTATCGACGATTATTCTGCAGAGCAAGAATTTCCAGGAAATGCACAGAGGCTAGGTGACGGTCGACGGCGGCATACAAGAGCAACAAAAGCCAATCGTTTCCCTTCCCCAACCCTTTTGTTTGAATTGTTTCCTCTCTTTTTTTTTTCATTTTAATTTATGGCACGTTTATTTCATGAAAAAATAAAATTTTAAAAAATATTTTCTCAAAAGCGATTGTTTATATAGTGTAGAGAAATTCGTTAACAAAGAAAAGTTTCGTTATCAATAATAATTTATGTCTTGACATTTCTGTTATTGGTGCAAAAAAAGAAATTGTTGGCTAATTTTTCTATACGATATAAACAATCATTATTTTTCAAATCATCACTTTGCCGTGAAACAAACTCATCCTTCACGGAAAATGAACAATAGTCGCTTATATCTCTTGAAATAATTAATTAATTAAAAATATTTTCATTATTAATAATAATTTATATCTAAATATTTTTATAAACGATAAAATATATTTTTATTAATTTAATTTTATAAATAATATAAATAATTATAATTAAAAAAATAATTATTTATTTTTCGTAAAATAAACACTTAATTTAGTCATGTTTGGTTTTTCAATTCTTGCTGCTCAAGTTTTGTTTTGAATTCAGACACGTCATGTCAAGATCTCACCTAATCAAACACGATCTATTAAACAATCATGGCTTGTCCACCGACCAAAAAGCACAATTTGCGACGAGGTTTCGAGAAAAACTCGCAATGGATGCTCACGACGTATACAGTCATTCACGTCTTATCGACAAATTAGTTATATCTATTTCACTTGGAAAGTAAAAATCTTTTACCGAAAAGACTGATTTTAGTTATATATGAGAAAAGGGGCTCGGAGTTGATCTTGGACGGGAGATTTCTTAGCTAAAGATCGAAAAAACTGTACTGGAACCAAAAAGTGATTAGTTCTCAAAGCCGTTCTGTTCCTATTTAGGAACTGAGAACGGGACCAAAGAGATTGGTTCCTAATTTCTAGAATCGGGAATTAGACCGGTGTCCCCTGATATCGGACCGGAACTATCCTGTCCAGTTCCCGGATTGATCCATGAAACTAGTAACATGTTTAATATTTTTATATTTATTTATCATTATATTCTCTCGTTATATCTTCCGAGCATAAGCTTCCAATTATTTTTTCTCCTGAAATGGGCACACCCCTTTTTAACATGTCAATTTGTCTTGACTCATTGTTTTTATAGTCATTGCTGTTGCAGGACTCCTGTCTCTTTCTTATCTTGCCTTTGGACACCAAAATGAAATACTTGGAAAGCTTAAAGCTTATGTGATGTGAGCATGCACCATCTCCTTCCACCGCGGGCAAAAACTCATCACAAGGCAGTGAAGTGAATTTAAGTTCATCATTATAGCTTTTGATGTTTGGGACCATATTCTAAATCAATGATCAGAAGCTATTTTAACAGAACATAAATTAAGGCTTATTAGTTTTTACATATTTATAAGAAATTTAAATTTTAAAAAAAATGTGTATGGCCCGAATAATCTGGTGAGCTGTTCCACATATGGAACCGGGAACCGGACTGAAAATTACCGATTTCAATTATCGCCCAAAATTTATCGGCTCGAGTTATTCCTTTTGCTCACCCCTAATGTACAGGATGATGAAGATAAATAAACATCATTGACTCATGTCAAGGAAAATGTGCTTGTCCCTTTACAATATTCAACGTGGGTATCATAGCCCACTAATAGTAAATACCCACAAACAGTTATTACTATCTATTATGGTTATTGCCACACGTCCTCCAAGATTCTTGCCATGTTTTTGGTACTCTGATGATAATCAATATCCACAAAAAGTCGCAACTTCCGAAGTCACCGGGAGAATCATCTACCTTTTGATACTGGAACCACCCCTCAAGTATTCGAACCGTTACTTGGTGCAAGAAGTCGTCACTTAACGTCGAGAATCGACACATCTTATACGTCATCCGGTTCCAACACTTATATTGATGGATCCACGTCAACGGGTGAATCAACATTAACCGGCGACATCGCTTGTCGACACTTTCTCATTTACCATCGACACTTTTACTCACGAGTTGTCGATTAAAATCCTTCAAATCAATCCTTAATCCCAAACGATCTCTTGGATAGTCCAACCAAGTTTTTCACTTGTCGCAGCCTAAACACGATCCAAACCCTCCTCCCTCGCTAATAAAAAAGATAGACAATCAAAACGCTTCGAAATCCAAGATATCTTTCGAGGATTGAGATCCTCCTCTTTCATAATTTAATGTCAAGCATTTCAAATATCTAAATCCATAGATTCGAAATTTAGCAAAAAAAAAATCCATAGATTCGAAAAGGAGGGCTGTAGGCCTGTCACAGTCGGATCTTAGCAGTGGAACTGGACAACAACCAAAAGCACAACCAAAGTCAAAGGTCTTCGTCTCATCCGTGTAGCGCGTACGCATGCTTCCTCCTCCAAGATCGCTCGCACAACAATCTTATATGCTCAAACTTGCACAACAACCACCGGTCGTTGTTTTCTCGAGTACAGATTGCACCACATGAGTATTCCCCTTTTCTCTTTTGATTTTCCCGACGAGCAGTAAAAAAAAAAAAAAACAGAGCATCAAGAAAATCTCACATGCAAGACATTTTAAACGCGAAGCGGCGACGACTTGGCGAGGAATTCGTCCCAAATGCACCCCGAAATGCAAATCCCCTCCAAATTCTCCGGTCGACCGTTCACGTAAATCCCCCACAAGGGAACGCGGTTCCACTGAAACTCCCTCTGCAACTTCCGTCGACCTTCTCGCGCTTGGTAGCTCCCGCACGCGTCCGTCGCAACGCGGACGTGTGGCCCCCTGTCTCAGTCTCTGTCTCTGTCTCTGTCTCTGTCTGAAGCGCAGAGCGTTTTTCGCAAAAACCTGCCTCTTCAGTCGTTACGCGGTTGGGTCGTGTCGTCACCGTTCATTGCTTTTGTCCGAGATTTCGATGAATACCAAGTTCAAGAATTTGCTTTTTTCTAGCCACTCATTCGGCTGTGTTCCGAGTTAACTGAAAAGTCCGAGGAACTGCACTCGGGAGTCTCTTTCGTACTGGCATTTGTTTAATATTATGAAGGCTTTCGGCTGATTTTGGTTCTATTTTGGGAGCACCCGCAAAGTCTCGTGCTTGACTTCTCATAATTAGCGCGTAGATTTCAAGTGGGGAAGCTTCTCTGTACCTTCCATGCGTGTTGACGTGAAGCGGTATCGATGATAAGATCCAAGAATCGTTTAAAATGCGCCCTTGACAGTTGATTGTTGCTTGTTGCTTTGCCCCAAGATTCGTCGCAACTCTCAGTTCTAATCTGGCAAGGAGTTGATTTCGTTACCGTAATGGTGCTCAAGAGGCCTTTTCCGAATGAGGGTGAAGAGGGTTTTGGAGCTTCAAAGAGAAGGTTGATACCCCGGTAAGTTTTTCTTTCTTTCTTTCTTTCTTTCTTGTCATAATGGGGTTTGCGGCCAATGCCCTGAAACTGAAAGGCCTCTAACTTGGATTTGATCGAATTTTATCTGCAGGACTGTGAGAGATATGACTGGACGGTGCTCGGAGAATGATATCCTGCACACCCTCGAGCCTTTCTTGCGCAGAGTGGTAGGTCGAGCCTTTCTTGCGCAGAGTCTTCTTGCATAAACTGATATTTCGCTGTTTGATTATCTTGTATTTTATACAATTAAGTATAGCAACTCTTGTATAAACATCCCTGTCCGACTGTCTGGGTTGTTCCAATGGAAAACATTCGGCAGTTTTTGGTTGTCGGTTTTTTCGGATCTGGAGTGTGAACTGCACTTAGTTATAGTCTCATGATCCATACCTTGCTTATATTGTCTATAGTTTTGCAGCTAGAAATTTTGCCTTTAACGATATAAGAAAAATGATAACTTCACAAGATATACTTGTTGAAGTTTATCTTGTGAAGTATGCAGCTGTTTCAAGTGTCGGCTTTCAAGTTCTATCTTTCTGAAAATCGGTCTATATGGATAGGTGTACGAGAATACAGTTTGAGTACCCTTCATGTCACGTGCCTTCACAGGGTGGTGTAATCAGTCAAATTGAGTCGTTAGCATGCTCTAATTGTGAATTGTTTTCGTCTAATCTAGATCAGTACCTTTCTCATGGGAGTGCAATTTCCCCTTCTCTGTCAATCAGGTTAGAGAGGAGGTGGACCTTGTATTATCGCGCCTGCAAGACCCACTTCAAAGGTTGGTTCCTGACCTGTGCAACTTTTGTTTGTCTCCATAATTTTTTGTTTCTCAGATTGCCATGGATTTTCTTGTTTATCGGCTGCTTTTGATCTGCTTGTTGCGTAAGCTGGTGCAGTTGATTGTTTCTGATCTCGATTTATGAAGGCGTGCCTGCTTGTACCATCCGTATTCAGTTCTTTTATCTGATCCTGATTGTTCAGATTTCTCACAAGCCATCAAGTAACATGTTTCCTGTGCGTTCTTTCAGGCCCTTGATTAACCCAGCCAGAAATTCTGTAGGAGAAGGAGGTTTGCAGTTGCGTTTTGTTAATCAGCCAACGCCTAAGGTTTTTACAAGCTGTAAGATCCAAGGTGAAGGCGGTTCTCCTATCAAAATCGAACTATTTGACACCAGAACCAACTCTATTGTTCGAAATGATCCCCTGTCTTCAGCTAGAGTTGAGGTTCTGGTCCTTGATGGTGACTTTGGCTCCGATGACCAAGAAGATTGGAGCGAGACTATGTTCAGGGCCAGTATCGTGCGTGAAAGAGAAGGTCGAAGACCACTGGTGGTTGGAGAACGGAGCATTACTTTGCAAGAAGGAGTTGGCTATCTTACTAACATAATTTTCACTGACAATTCGAGTTGGATAAGAAGCCGGCACTTCAGGTTAGGAGCTCAGGTCGACCAGAAAATTTCGTCCGGTGTACGAATAAGGGAAGGCAGAAGTGGAAAGTTCGTAGTGAAAGATCACCGTGGAGAGCGTAAGTTTAAACAGCTTGAAAAGTTTATTCATCACTGTTCTATCTTCGTGTTATTGTCGTGGTTTTCTCTAAGCCAATGAACTAATGGAACTGACACGACTTTTTTGCAGTGTACAAGAAACATTACCCTCCAAGCCCGAAAGATCAAGTATGGCGCCTCGAGAAAATATCAAAAGACGGCACCTTCCATACTCGGTTGGCTTCCATCGGAATTCACACTATCAAGGATTTCTTGCGTAAACTTGAAACAGACCCAATCCTCCTAAGAAACGTGAGAAGTTTTGACTTTCTTGCAGGCTATCATTCATTTTGTGGAGCAGTTTTAGTTCAATGAGGCCTAAATTCTCTGCTGCTGAAACTGCAGAGATTAGGTAATGTGTCGAACAAGACATGGGAAGCAATTGTTGAGCATGCAGTGACATGCATCGTAGATGATAACGAGGCGTACATCTACTTTGATGCCTCACAGAGCGCTGGGCTTTTGTTCAATTCAACCTACAAAGTCATCAGTGCAACCTTTGACGGTCAAAATTACCATCCGCTGGAAAACTTGACTGTTCATCAGAAGGTGCGTTTCGACAGTCTGAAGATATAGATGTGCCTCTTAAGTCATTTCAGTAACTGTCAAATACGTATGATCAAAAGCTACAACTTTCATTGCAGCACCGCTTACGACATTTTTTTGAGTTTAGCAATAGCACAGCAGATATGTTACTTTTAGTGATCTACACCGACGAACTCTTGTCACTATTGGAATGATCACATCTCTAATAGAATCCTCTCATCTATCTTGCAGCATTTGGTGCGTAATTTAAAGCAGCAGGCTTACTTAAATGTGAACGGATTGATACCAATCAATTTACCTTCAATTGCTACTCCTCCAACGGCCTTGAGTAGCTTGCCAACTTCAGATTCAAGCATTGATTTAAGTTCAAGCGAGCCGCACATTGACTTCCCATCTCTGTACCAAGGCATTGAAGACTTCAAAGGCACAAAATAGTTTATATGTTACAATTTTGTGATGCTGAAAGCCTGAAAACTGTTATCCTTTGAAGTGATTTCTTTCAGGCCTTTTCAAAATTTTTCTCAAGCCTTTGTTATCTTGCAGATCCAGCAGGACTACTGCCTGGATTCAACCATTTGTCCGCTTCGACATCATACGACAGCAAAGCTGTTCAGAGCCAGCAATTTGAAGTCTCTGTCTCACAGGATTATCCAGCGCAGGCTTTTAACCCAATTTCCACAAGTAGTTTCCCAATGGGAAATGCCTGGGCGGGACTCTACAGTGGAGAGAACAATTCTCAGTATAATTCACAGAGGACAATCGAGATAAACAGCGATTTAGCTGCTAATATGAATGTTTCACAAATCGAAGCATCATATTGTTTCCCGTCGTCTTCTTCTTCAGCTTGGACGCCAGGAAATGGCTTATTCATTGGTTCGCTGGGTGAGGCTGAAGGTGGGATCTTTTCTTCTTTCTCGGACATCGGTGTCCATATCCACAAAAGTGCGAGGCCTAAGGCAGGTTGGTGCAAGATTCGAGCTGCGGTCAAGTGGGGATCGGTCAGGCGCGATGTGGCCGCCAGAAGAATGGCGCACCTTCCGTGTAGGTAGATTCCGAGGATCTTTTAGAGCATCCACCGCGATCCCCATCCCTGCAAGCATCTCGGGGAAAAAACATGTCGTTCGGTCGTGTGCTTTATCCATTCGCTCGTTTATTTCCTCCTGCATTAGGTTGTAAATTCATAGGGTTTTACAGAATAGGATTGCCGAAAGAATGTGGCATTGTTGTTTTCTGTACGTAGATCGATTAGATTTCGGGCATTTTCCTTGCAATAGTTTCTTCTGTATCAAGTTGTAGATTACATAGGAAGTTCAAAGGAAAGGCCAGTCGCAAGAGTCATGTAGATCAATCAGATCATGTAAAATAAATGTCTAATGTCTTCAAAATCAGTGTCTCAAGAGTTTTATGATTCACTTGCTTCAGATTTCCATAGATTTCTGTGGAATGATTGGTTTTAGATTTTGCTGCTGATCCACCTTATTGTTGCTGTATATACTTATGATGCCTTGATTGGAACTGAAACTATCTCATAGGCCAGAGAAATGGTTGCTGTTAATAGGAATGGAGAAAATCTCTCTCCAAGAGAAAGTGCCTTGAGTTGCAAGCAACGCTGCGTGCTCCGAAATTGTTTTGCACGTGTTCTTCATCACAAAGAAATTAAGCAAAAGTCCCGAGATAGCTTGAGTAAGTCGGTCTAGAAGAAGCTCGAATGGCTCCATCAAAATAGTTCGCAATAACGAATTTTGTGCCATTCCAATAAAAACTTAATTCTTAATTATCATACTATGAAATTTATTGTTCATCAAATAAGGGCCTAAAATAGAGCTGTTTTCTCAAAAGATGATCAAGAGTAGTCATTGTCTCAAATAAAGGCTTAAAGTGATTAATCAAGTCTCAAATAAGAGCCCAACTCCGAGTAGGCCAAATCTCCGTCGGCCAGCTTGTTCCAGCAGCTAGAGCAGGGGTAATCTAGTTCAAAAATTCTAAGTTGAACCGGGTAAAAGCCGACCAAATCCCTAAAAACCAAAAAACGTCCTAAATTGTGGTTGGATCACCCCAGGTGAAAAACCCTTGTTGCTGTACCTGTCTGAATCCATAGATACCTCTGCACATATCTTCTTAAGTATCTTGGCACAGTGCAGCATTAGTTCCTGTCCTCTTTATGGATTACTCGTCACTGTCACAATACTCTGCAGCTTATATACAGAGATACAATTTGTATGATGGAGACTGCACATTCTGTTCATTTATTGCATCTAATTAGCTAAACACGAAAATTCCAATGCAAGAGCGAACCTCAATTTGGGGGCTTTTTTTATTTAAATTTGTGACGCCCCAGAACGTGATGCGCGACACATTTCTTTTATTATTACTAATCCTTACTAATAATCAAGCCAGTGGAAGTTAAAGTCTAAACATGTTTTAAACATGAAAATCACACAAATTTAGTCATCATACTTATGCTTCTTATTAACAACACTTGTCAGATTTACAAGTCCTGACAAACATCATATAATCACAAAAAAAATAAAATTCTGGGTATATTAAGTTATACTGAAAAAGTCTACCTAGACAAAAGTCTGGTGACGTCATGTATCGATAACTTCGCCCTCTGATGCGAAATCATCCTCAGCTATGTCGAAGCCCCTCAATGGGCCAACTAACTCGCCGTCGAGATTACAATACCACGCAACGAACCGATAAGGAACCCACTCGATAAAACCCACGTCGACCTAGACAGTAGGGCTACACTTAGTATGTGATACTTCAGATTTAGGCACAAACACATTTTTATAGACAGCTTCATGATATACGAGAACTCCAAAATGCAGAGGCTATGGAATATCCATCCTACATGTCTGAAAAATAAAAGAATGAACCGAGGCCCGATAAATGAAATCTCTAGTTTTAAGTTAGGAAAATCAGCTTACAAACAACATACATGCATAACAAACAGTATGCATAGAACTTGAATAAATGTTATACCTTTTTCCATCTGGATATGCCACAAAATCTGAGCAAGTCAACATTTCACAATACTTTTACTCAGATGCAAGCATATGATGTAAAACATTCATGCTCATGAGTTAGGTTCATTACTTTTTTCTCCCGAACACTCGCGGAGCATCTCAAATCCGAGGTATCCCGGTACACCCTATGGGGCATCTCGACTTCCGAGACATCTCGGTACACCTTTCAAGGCATCCCAACACACGGGGCATTCCGGTACACGAGGCATCGTCACTGTTGAATTGTGAGTGACGGAATTTATATTATTCTCATGCAAGCCATAACAACCAAGTATTTGCATGCATATACTCACTTTCTTTACGTCACATGCCCTTTAAAGCAATGAAATGCATCATTCAAGCAAATAAGTATGAAACAATATAGGTTTAGACTCACAAGGCTAAAGTCTACTCAAGTTCAGAAAGAACACATATCCAGATTTTAAGATAAAACTTCCTCGGTTTAGAAGATACATTTATCCAAACTTTGAAAGTAAAGTCTACTCGAGTTCAAAATACATACGTTCAGACTTCGAAAATAAAGTCTACTCGAGTTCAAAAATACATACATCCAGACTTTGAAAATAATGTCTACTCGGGTTCAAAATACATACGTCCAGACTTTGAAAATAGTGTCTACTCGGGTTCAAAATACATACATGTCCAGACTTTGAAAATAAAGTTTACTCCGGCTCAAAATACATATGTCCAGACTTTGAAAATAAAGTCTACTTGGTTCAAAATACATACGTCCAGAATTTGAAAATAAAGTCTACTCGGGTTCAAAATACATATGTCCAGATTTTGAGAGTACATTATGGTCAGTTTAAAAATAGACATGTTCAGATTTTGACAGTAAAATCTGCTTGATTTCAAAATAGACATGTCCAGATTTTAACAGTAAAATCTGATTGGTTTCAAAATAGACATGTCCAGATTTTGACAGTAAAGTCTGTTCAGTTTTAAAAGTAACCAGAACCAAAATTTGAGGCTAAAATCAGTTCAGTTCAGAAGTAAACAGAATTAGAATTTGAGACTAAAATCTACTCAGGTTCATAAATCAATATGTCTAGATTCAAAGAGTAAAAATTTTCTCGGATAAGAAGTCAATAGATTTTACAAAAGAGGCTTAAGTCTGGACCTATAAATATGATTTTTCCAAGTTCTAATTCATCATTTACACTCACCTAATATACTTCACTTTGAGTAAAACGATTTTCTACCTTTTTAAATATACATAAAACCAACAAGACAATTGCCACAATCACCTCAAAGATGACATTTACACGTTTAGATTTAACCATTGCATTTGTCGATTTTTACCACACTTTAAAGAAACAAATCACACCCATTTGAACATGTACAAAACCAGCAAAACAAATCCAACCATCACCATATCTTCACTATGATCATACATCAAAATAGCATTTCTCAAGCAACCAAGTTAAAAAGTGTCAAGAAGATTTAATTAGCTTAAATCTAGAGTCTTCACTTACCTCACCTAAAATCTGAATGCCCAAAACCAGCTTATAGATTTTGGATCGGGTGTTGATGAAGTAAATTCTCTTTGAAGATTTACAGTGAAAAAGAGTTACCGCCTGAGGTGAAAATTCCCTTCGATGTTACCCAGATAAAAATGAAACAGAGGAATAGATTGTGAGATGGATAAGTGCATGCGCACTTCCTCTTTCCATCCACAGTGAGGTGTAAGAAATCAAAGCTGATTACGGAAGAGTAATGGCCAAGGAAAATGATGGCCTATGGCTAGGTGTCAAGCTAGTATAAGAAGCTTATCCTAAGAGGGCATGTGGCATGTGACTATGGTTAAATCCTTCATAGGCCGCGTGAGAATAAGGTGTCTTGAGGAAATTTTGTGAGACAAACATAATATCTTCCCCCCTTATCAGTAATTAGAAAATAATGATTATCACTAATTAACTAAAGTTTAATCTAATATTATTACCCATTAATCACTAAGAAGACGGTAATTTAATTAATACCGCACTACCATTAACATACACAACAACGTATAAAAAAAAAACTAAACACGTCGAGCTCGGAACGATTACGTTCCCGAATCTGCGCCTCACAATTTACGGTCCAACAACGATTTTTACGCGTCCGCACAAATACTAAGCTAGATACTACTTAGCTTATAATCTAAGTATCATTATCGAACATAGAAAATTTCCAATGTCACATACTTATTATTATAAAATTTCCGGATGTCACAAAATTAATATCACGAAAAATCCCAAATTGATACACAAATGAAAAATTTACCCAAAACTAATTGTTTTACCACAAAAAACCCCAAACTGGTACATTTATGACAAATTTACCCTCCATTAAATTGAATTAATAAAAAAAAATCACAAACTAATACATCTTGGACAAACGGAGGGAAAACCCTAAACTAGTTGACGTGTCATTTAACTAAACAAGTTGACAGTAAAATTTAATGAAAACTAACAGAGGGTAAATTTGTCATATGTGTACTAGTTTGGAATTTTTTGTGATAAAAAAATTAATTTTGGGTAAATTTGTCAAATATAAACTATTAAAAATATGTTTCGAATTTGAACTCGAAGCGAAAATCTGAATTTTAAAAATAAAAAAAAAATTCAAAGTCAAGTTTTGGAAATTAGCTTTGCGAATGTGAGTTGGAGTCTTTGCCCCTTGCAAAAGGAAAGTCCAATTGTGTCAGAGAAAGGAAGGAAACACTACCTGAAGTCGGCCAAAGAAAGGCCTAATTCCAAAAAAAACCCTCAACTTTACACTTTGTCCCAAATATACCCTGAATTTTTTTTTGTCTCAAGAAAAACCACAAACTTTTATCTAAGTCCCAAATCTGCCCTCCGGTTAAAAATCCATCCAAATCCGTCGGAAAAAAAAAAAAAAAAAAGAGAACCGGCAGCTGCGGCGGTGGCCAAGCCTTCGACTCCCCCAGATCGGGGGCTGCGCGCCCTCGCCGGCGGCTCGCCCGGGGCCGGCGAGGGTCGCCGGCCTTCGGGAAGGCCCAGGCGTGGGCCGCCGCTCCTTCCCGACGGCTGTGGCGGCGGCCACCGGCGAAGGCTTGGCCACCGCCGCAGATGTCGGTTCTCTGTTTTTTTTTTTCCGACGGATTTGGACGGATTTTTAACGGGAGGGCAGATTTGGGACTTAGATAAAAGTTTGTGATTTTTCTTGAGACAAAAAAAAGTTCAGGGTATATTTAGGACAAAGTGTAAAGTTGAGGATTTTTTTTGGAATTGGGCCGCCAAAGAAAAGTCAAAAGATGAAAGTCCAAACTTTGACTGGTTGACCAAATAACATGATTTTCTAATCCATGTTGACGTGGGCTTCCGAAGGTGTTTTTCTTTTGGCTATAAATATATTCAGTGAGCACTTTGGGCGGTGGTTGTTGATCAATACGTGAAGTTATTCTTGAAGCGCCGCGTGTGTGCGAGTGCTTGGCGGTGGGCAATCTTTGCGTTTTTGTTCGTGGAATTATACCAAGAATTCAAGTATTTGTAGCAATTAAATCTTGTGATAAGATTTATGTATAATTCCTTCGCGAGATATTATGAGACTAAATACTGCGTGAGCTATTAGGTGTAATTGGGGCTTGGAAAACACTTAGAGTGTTTGAGTGACTCGAGTGTAGTTGTAATCTCCATTGTATCACTTGATTTATAGTGAAATTTCGTACTGCTCTCCCTGTTGACGTATGTCACTACGACCGAACCACGTAAATCTGGTGTTTGATTTATTTTCGTGTTCTGTCAAATTTATTGTTCGATCGCTTGGCTTCCGCAACAATTAATATCAAAGCCTGGCTTGGCTGAGTTGAAGCGAATTGATGGCGACAAAAGAAGGAAAAGTGAGAATCGACAGATTTGATGGGAAGGATTTTGATTTCTGGAATATACAAATTGAGGATCATCTATATCAAATGAAACTACACTTGCCCCTATCTAGGGAGAAGCCAGAGACGATGAAGCAAGCCGACTGGGAATTACTAGATAGATGAGCTTTGGGTGTTATTCGGCTCACGTTGGCTCATAACGTCGCGTTTAACATCCTGAATGAGAAAACCACTGCGAGTTTGATGAAAGCCCTGTCGGACATGTACGAGAAGCCCTCTGTGACAACAAGATCTATTTAATGCGACATCTGTTTAACTTAAAGATGTGCGCAGGTGCGTCAGTTGCTGATCATATTAATTAATTCAATGTGATCATTAGTCAATTGAGTTCAGTTGGCATTGACTTTGAAGATGAGGTATGTGCTTTGATTATATTATCCTCATTGCCTTATGGTTGGAATACGACTGTCACTACTGTTAGTAATTCCTCTGGGTTAATAAGTTTGACGTTTGATGGTGTTCGGGATTTAATTCTGAGTGAAGATATCCGTAGAAGAGAATCTGGTGAACATGCATCGGCTGCTTTAATAGGTAAAAATAGAAGAAGAATTGGTATACGTGTTAGCAGAAGTAGTATAAACATCAATAGAAGAAGTCAGTCTAGGACTGGTGGTGTCGTCTGTTGGAGCTGTGGTAAGAGGGGGCATCTTAGAAGGGAGTGTCTTAAGCTGAAAAACGATCAGGGTAAAAGAATTAGAGTTGAGTCTGCAGATGATGTTGTGGCTATAACAGACAGTAATTCGGATAATGCTGATTATGTCTTGTCTGTTATTAATGATTTGTCGTTTGGTAGATGGATTATGGATTCTGGTTGTTCTTTTCACACTACACCAAACATGAACTGGTTTACTACTTATCAGTGCATAGATAATAGTAAAGTGCAGTTGAGGAACAATTTTGAATGCAATGTTATAGGTGTTGGTGATGTTAAAATCAGAATGCATGATAGTATTGTGTGGACATTGATTGAAGTGAGGCATGTTCCAGAGTTGAAGAAAAATCTAATTTTTTTGAGTGCCCTGAATTTAGCTAGGTGTCAGTAATCTTCAGAATGTGGAGTTTTGAAAGTTGTTTAAGGTGCCTTAGTGATAATGAAAGGAATCAAGCACAATGGCCTGTATAAACTTCAAGGTGAGATAATGACGGAATTCGCCGTGGAGGCGTCGGATGCATCGATTCAAGAGTCTGAATTGTGGCATATGCTTTTGGGGCACATTAGCGAGAGAAACCTAAAGGTTCTAAGTGAAATAAATTTGCTATATGGTTATGTGGCTAACGAACTGAATGTATGAAGGTGCTGTGATTTAAATCAACGGTAGAAAGTGCATTTCAGTACGTTTGTCAGAGAAAACACGGAAATTGCAAAATTAATTCACTTTGATATTCGCAGGTTGTCGCGGTTTCTTTCGAGGAAGAGTGCCAGATTTATGTTAACAAATGACTACTCGAGGAAGACGTGGGTGTTTATGCTTAGGCACAAGTTTGATGATGTTGTTAGGATTAGGCAGTTGAGAGCTTTGATCGAAAAGGAAATTGGTAAAATGATCATTCAAGTGCGGACTGACAATAGTATGGAATTTTGCTCGGAGCTGTTAAATGAATTCTGCAAGAAGGAAGTCATAGTGAAACATCGTACTAGTGCCAATGAACCATAACATGTTGCAGAATTAATAAGCAGAACATTACTAGAGATGGCCCATAAAATGCTCTCTAATGCTGGTATGGCTAGGAGATTCCTGGCGAATGCACTTAGTACGGTGAGCTACCTGAAAAATAGATCCCCATCGATTGCAATTGGATGTCGGACTCCCGAAGAAGTGTGATCAGGTAACGTTACTTATTATTCTGTTATTAGAATATTTGGTTGCTCATGTTATATTCGAATTAGTAATGGTAAGCTCGATGAAGGGCAATGAAGTGCATGTTCCTAGGTTATGCACAAGGTGAGCGGGGCTATCAGTTGTGGTGTCCGGAATTAAATTCACCTGTTTTCAGCAAAGAAGTTACATTTGACGAGTCTCCGGTACCTATGACTAGGAGTGTTATTAGCAGTGTTCATACGAATCTGAATGGTGTTCAGCTTGAGGTGGAGTTGCAACCAGAAACTTCTGAGGTAGCGAGTACTAACGAAGTAATCGACAAAGTTAGTGCTTGTAGCGAGGTAGAGACTATAGAGCCATTAGTTGCTGCAACTGCTGATATTGACAATGTGCATATTCAATCTCCTAACAGATATGGATGTAATGATGGTTTTGCTTTATTTGCGGTTGAGGAGATTGTGTCAGAAAATCCTTGTGAAGCAGTAAAAGGTGCATGTGAAGTTGGTGTTCTAATGAGGTCCACGGCTATGACAAAGTTCAAACAAGACTTGGACTTGAAAGATATTTGTGGTGGTTGAAACCATTAGGGCTGTGGGAGAGTAGCGAAGTTTCGACGAAACGATTGTGACTTGGCTCAAACATCAAGCCACGGTGGAGATTGTTGAAAATATGTCCCGAGTTTGAGCTTGAAGCGAAAATATGAATTTTAAAAATAAAAAAAAAAATCCAAGGCCAAGTTTCGGAAATTAGCTTTCCGAATGTGAGTTGGAGTCTTCGCCCACTGTAAAAGGAAAGTCCAATTGTGTTAGACAAAGGAAGGAAACACCACTTGAAGCCGGCCAAAGAAAAGTAGAAAGAGGAAAGTCCAAACTTTGACCGGTTGACCGAATAACATGATTTCCTAATTCATGTTGACGTGGGCTTCTGAAGGTGTTTTTCTTATGGCTATAAATATATTCAGTGAGCACTTTGGACAGTGATTATTGATCAATACGTGAAGTTACTCTTGAATCGCCGCTTGTGTGTGTGAGTGCTTGGTGGTGGGCAATCTTTATGGTTTTGTTAGTGAAATTACACCAAGAATTCAAGTGTTTGTAGAGATTAAATCTTGTGATAAGATTTGTGTATGATTTCTTCGCAAGATTGAGAGATTATTTCGTGAGGAATTATGAGGCTAAATACTGCGTGAGCTATTAGGTGTAGTTGGGGCTTGAAAAACACTTAGAGTGTTTGAGTAACTCGAGTGTGATTGTAATCTCCATTGTATCGCTTGATATATAGTGGAATTTCGTGCTGCTTTTCCCATGAACATAGGTCACTATGATCGAACCACATAAATCTGGTGTCTGATTTATTTTCTTACTCTGTCAAATTTTATTGTTCGATCGCTTAGCTTCCGCAATATATACCAGTTTGGGATTTTTGTGGTAATAACCCTTTTGATTTTTAGGTATTTGGTCATTTTTTTACTCGGCACGTGGAACTGGGTCGAAGCTGAATTTCTGGACAAAAATTTGCCTTGCTCTAACCATCGAAACACGTTGTCCGGCCAATGGGTTTGAGCCTTTATTTGAGATTAAGTTGACAACTTCAGACACTAATTCGAGAAGACAAGATCTGTTATGAGTTATTTTTTGAGAAAATGCCCCAAATTTAAGTCTTTATTTAAAATTGTCCCTAAGCAAAACTAGAAATGTGCAATAATCTATGATCCCTAGTTTTGCCGTTCTCGAAAATCTCTAATTACATCTTATTTACGCGTAAAAGGGTCAAAAGAGTTTTCTCAAAAAACGCATTTGACACGTAAAACTCATGTCATTGAACCGTCGTACTACCTTTCTTTACTCCGCTTAAAGCAACCGTCACAAATCTATACATTTAGGCCAAGAATGGATTTTGTACACATTACCACTTACGTTTAAATTTCCGCTGATCCCTTATTATGTTTATTACCAATTTCGCTAAAACGATTTTTTCTCGTCTTTACTTTCTCGATATCGAATTTTTCCCTTAATAAAAAACTAATACTCGAATTCTTTTTGTAGAGGTCACCAAAGAAGGACATATTATAAGGGGCTCCGAATAATTAATCTTTTTTATTTGCTCAATGGGGAATGAAAAAAATAAATGGTATTTTATATCACGACTTTTTTGGGAAAAAAGGGGACCTTTTCCCACAGTTTCAAAATTCAAAACGGATGGCATTTTCGTAGATTCGGTACGATCCGTGCCCAGTTTCGTTTACCGGGGGCGTCCTCTCCCGTACAGCCCACTATATAACCAATCCTCCATTGCAGCCCCTTTCCTCTCCACTCTCTCGTAGCTCCCCCCCCCCCCATCGATCGCTCGATCGCGAACTTCCCTAAAACCCTCTCGCTCTCTCCCCTAGGGTTTTGCTGCTGCTGCTGCTCCCCCTCGGCGTCGCCTCCTCGATCCCCCCCCTGACGATGTCGCTCCGGCCGAGCGCGAGGACGGAGGTCCGCCGGAACCGCTACAAGGTGGCGGTGGACGCGGAGGAGGGGCGGCGGCGGAGGGAGGACAACATGGTGGAGATTCGCAAGAGCCGGAGGGAGGAGAGCCTGCAGAAGAAGAGGCGGGAGGGCCTCCAGGCCCAGCAAGCGGCGCCCTCGCTCCACTCGTCCGCCGTTGAGAAGAAGGTGGGGTTCTGGCCTCCGATTTGGCGATTAGGGTTTTTGTGCGGTCCGCGATTGGTTCTGCTCTTCGTTTTTCTGTTTTTGCAGCATCTGATTGGTTGAGTGATTCTGTCCGATTGATCGAGTGATGATTATGACCGTGTCAGGATAGGGATTGGTCGTATGGGGCTTAGTTTATTAATTAAAGTGGAGGATTGGTTTTTGGCTGTTCAGATGTAAATTGGAGACCTTTAATTGAGCTTAATTGTATGTCCTTAAGGCCTTCATCTGGAAGGAGTTTTAGTTTGGTTCTGATGGAAATTGGGTTGATCGTAATATAAAATTCGCGGAATTAAAACGACATTGATCATCTTGTGCATGTTGTTCGTGTGTTCTGGTTGGGTCGCGATTCTTGATAAATTGAAGTGTTATCACAGAACCAGCGTAGTTGTGTGTTGAGCTCATTAAAAATGCGACTAACTGCATAAGGGGCTTAAGCTATCGGAGGTAAGGAAGATAAACTTCTTGAAGAGTGAGCTACTTTATTGAGTTTCGAGTATGGTTTATTGACATTATAAGCGTCCATCGTATTTAGTTGTAGTTTTCTGCTGGGTCTTCTTTTTTTCTCACGACTTAGTTTTGAGTAGTTAACTCATGAGAAAGTTGTGAGGATCGGTTGTTTATAGAGCTAAAGTGGAAAAGAATTTGTTGTATATGAGAAATTTTACTTGTGATCTTCAATAGGATGGAACTAGATACAACTGGAAGAGCAGCTTCTCTTGGAATTTACTTATTTGTTTGACTATCAAAAGAAATGTTTGACTATTTTTTGGATGCTAAAAGCAACATATGGTCTATGTAGTGGTTGGCTGTCTTCTAGGTTGTCCATCCCATCTTCAGTGAGAGCTCCCTTATTTTGATTCTTTTTTATACTTCATTTGAGGAACTTGGATTGTTTCTGTTAGAATGGGAAAATAGAAGGAATTGGATGTGGGTGACTACTCGCATAGTTACTTCTGTCTCTCTATCTTAGTACGCCATTGCTGGCAAACGGGTCAAGCTGTTGGAACTTTATTTTTTAAAAATAAAAATTTTACTTAGCTAGGTAGTTTGAAGAATTGTTCTGGCATGGTAGATTTTGCTTATTCCCATCAATTTTATGTGTTTGCACCTTCTTGTATTAATGAATTAAGGGAATATGTTACTGCGAAACTGTTTCCGTGCTTTTTGCATCTATCACTTTGCCTCAGTATGCTAATGGTAATCATACTTGTGTTCATGGAGTAATTATTCTAACAGTTTTTTTGTTGTTAATATATAACAACAGCTGGAACATTTGCCTTCCATGATTGGTGGTGTATATAGCGATGATAATAACTTGCAACTGGAGGCGACCACTCAATTTAGAAAATTGCTCTCTATTGGTGAGTTTTTACATTTTATAGTGCATGTACTGCGGTTGCTTTTATTGTGTGGTTGAGAGGCTTACACAATAAGAACTATCATTTTATGCAGAGTGTAGTTTGCTTTTTATATGTAAATTATAATAATTTACTCGACTTTGTCAGAACGCAGCCCTCCAATTGAAGAAGTTATACAATCTGGAGTTGTTCCGCGGTTTGTTGAGTTTCTGATGAGGGAGGATTTTCCTCAACTTCAGGTACTGTGAGATGCCATTGTTAATCAACTCTTGTGAACATTCTTTTAACTTTGGTGCTAACTTTTTAATCCTTTGACAAATTCTAGTTCGAAGCAGCGTGGGCTCTTACTAACATTGCTTCTGGGACATCTGAGAACACTAAAGTTGTGGTTGATCATGGAGCCGTCCCTATATTTGTTAAACTTCTTGCTTCTCCTAGTGATGATGTCCGTGAGCAGGTATAGTGTAGACGATTCCATACTTTCTTTTACCTCTATTCTTGCTTTTCCCTTCCTTTCGTGTTATTTGGAACTTGGATTGTTTTGTCAAGTGTGTGGTCAAATTGTCAGTTGACTCCATCACCTTCTCTTCTGGTACAGGCTGTTTGGGCACTGGGAAATGTTGCCGGTGATTCTCCCAAGTGCCGCGATCTCGTTCTTGCAAATGGAGCTTTGCTTCCTTTATTGGCACAGTTGAATGAGCATGCTAAGCTGTCTATGCTGAGAAATGCTACCTGGACTCTCTCGAACTTTTGTAGGGGAAAGCCACAGCCTCCTTTTGATCAGGTTTGTTGGTTCATGCCTGTTGCCCCTTGTTCAAAGACTGTATTAAATAATTTGATAAATGATATGGATATAGTCAACCTCTCTGCTGATTTAAGTACGTTTACAGTCTTTCACCTAAGACTATATGTCAGCGGTGACAGTTTTTTGCCTTGACATCCAATATTTTCCTTTTGACTGACAGGTTAGGCCCGCACTTCCAGCTCTTGAACGTCTTATCCATTCAAATGATGAAGAGGTCTTGACTGATGCATGTTGGGCACTATCCTATCTTTCTGATGGAACAAATGACAAAATACAAGCTGTAATAGAAGCTGGTGTTTGTCCTAGGCTTATTGAACTGCTTCTGTGAGTTCTTTTTTTCCTATACTGTTTTGTAGATTGGGGCGTTGTCTCTTCCATTGTTTGGGTTTGGATCCTTTTTCCCTTTTATACGTGATGGTTAATGTAAGATCAATTTTGTCAGCCATCCATCTCCGTCAGTGCTGATTCCTGCCCTTCGCACTGTTGGGAATATCGTCACTGGGGATGATTTACAAACTCAGGTATTCGAAAGGGTTATGTAGTTGCAACATCCTTACAAGAAAGTATGTTTGGGAACACACTCAGTTTGTCTTAATTTTTTGCTTTGATTTAGTGCATCATCAACCACCAAGCACTTCCATGCCTTCTCAACCTGTTGACCGGAAATTACAAGAAAAGCATCAAGAAGGAAGCGTGTTGGACCATCTCAAACATCACTGCTGGAAACAAGGAGCAGATTCAGGTATGGTATCTATTAATACTTCTTTTGTTTTCTTTTTTGCTGTTTTCCTTGATTTAATGCAATTGGAAGTTTTATATAGAGCGTACGGGTTTGTCAACATCTTCATCGGGCATGACCGTTTGTTTGTATGATACTCTACAGGCTGTCATAGAGGCTAATATAATTGCTCCACTCGTTCATTTACTTCAAAATGCTGAATTCGACATCAAAAAGGAAGCTGCATGGGCAATCTCCAATGCTACATCCGGCGGTTCTCATGAACAGATAAAGTATGACTTATCTTTGTATAAGTGTCTCCTTTTGTTTTTGAGTAGTGCTATTTCTTAGATTTTGGTTTCACTTTGTTGCTGCAGGTTCCTTGTTAGTCAAGGGTGTATCAAGCCCCTGTGTGATCTTCTCATCTGTCCTGATCCAAGAATTGTGACTGTCTGTTTAGAAGGTCTTGAGAACATATTGAAGGTTGGGGAAGCTGAGAAAAACCTAGGAGGTACTGGTGATGTGAATCTTTACGCTCAAATGATTGACGATGCCGAGGGCTTAGAGAAGATTGAGAACTTGCAGAGTCATGACAACAATGAGATATATGAGAAAGCAGTGAAGCTTCTTGAAACATATTGGTTGGAAGAAGATGATGATGCGATGCCTCCTGAGGATTCTGCCCACCCTGGTTTACAGTTTGGAGCAAGTGAGCTGCCTCCTGTTCCATCTGGTGGCTTCAAGTTTGGCTAAGGTTGGGTTTTAATGAGCAATGTTATGCTTTCATCACAAGACCCATGGGGGTTTTGTTTTTTGGGTTCAGATAGCTTGTCCTTGTAAGTTTGATATTGTTTGTCCTTGCAATTTTACTCCTGCAGGGAAAGCTGCTGCTGAATTATATAAAGTTGTCAAACTGCGGAGGGATGGAATCTGCATTGAGGTCAGGTGTCACTCATATTGTCGCCCTGTTGTGTCCAGTTGTTATGAGATTTTGGAGTCATGCTTGGAGTGGCTTGGGTCTGGATTAAGCTTGTGAAGAGAGCAATGCAGTGTGGTTGTATCTGGATTGATGATGCTGCAGCTAAAGAGCTCTTGGTTGAAGTTTTTGTTGCAAGAGGTCGTCGCTGTCAATTGGGCTCTTCGGTTAAGAATCTTGCAGTTTTAAAGTGATTACTGTCGGGCTATTGTAGTCTTGTTGTCTTCACAATTATATATTGTTATATTGCTCTGCTGAAATCTTGAGCAGTATTTCACTTCTTTACAGTTAAGGGTCAATATTATAGTCATTTTCTTGCTGTTCTTGCGAATTTTCCTGTCCTCGTGACAGAGCGTAGCAGCAATTGTTGAAATGTCAACTCTTATGTTATATGCAAAAGATGTGAATAAATGGTTCCTTTGGCTTTGGCTTCTCCGGACAATTTCAACTGATGCGCTTGACACCTGACTACATGCGGGATGCCTATTCAGTTGAAAGATTGCATCGTTCATTTGGACTGCAAATTCGAAGTCATTCTACTGATAAAAACCATGTTGTCTATTTTCCAGCTGAAACAGCATGTGAACTTACAGGAAAAGATTATCGTTATGAACGAACGATCTTGTGCTTGACTCCACGTTAGACGGGGTTAACTTGCGGGGCATTAACTCTTCTTGAGGTTGGAGTGTCTTGGCGTCTTACTTAAGCAAACACATGCACGCAGGAGACTTTTTTAACTTAAAAACTAAGAAACCACCATGTGCTCCTCCGCTTTTGTGCAGGCAAAGCTAATCTGGAGTTGAGTCGACAATCCTCTGTCTCAAGGCCCGAGAGAGATACTTGAGCTCGAGGTGGCTTTTTATCTAAAAACCAGATTCGTTGGGTCTTGGTCCTAACTTATTTTGCGTTTTGAAAGACATAAGTTGGTAGCCTCTGCGCGTTAATACAGAAAGGTAACATCATGATGTCCTCGTCAAGTTTGAATTCCAACTTTGAGATGAAAACAAGTTTAGGCGATTGGGCAACTCTCGAGAATATCTGTCTCGTTTCGAGATTTAGAAGGCAGAAGGTGCGTGCAAGCCTTTACCATAGGGAAAAGAAAGAAGAAAACGGAAAGATAGCCAGAGATTGTTCTCAAAATCTTTGTGATTTCTTGTGCTAACTACTTCGAGTCACATTATTTTAGCGAGGTAACGAATTTGATTCCCATCGTGTGCATATCTCCAAACGGCTCAAAATGCGCAGCCTAGCTGAAGCATTTCTCATGTGAAGGGACTCCCCAACTATCAACTTTTTGGTGGGATTGTAGTAACGGGCTCTCCAATCTCGGGTTTCAGTTGAAAGGGGCACAGAGTAGTTATGGTACGGTTGGAACATTTATAACGGGTGAAACTCTCCGGATATCGCCCAAAGAGGTAATTAGTAGTGTCGGTCTCCCTTGTACGCTCTTTTTAGCTACGGATTTTTCATTTTCACAATACTCCGATTCACTAACAAGCTAAAAAAAAGTAAAAGTAACACTAAACAAGCTAAAAAAAAGAAAAGTGAAAAGCTTAGGGAGAGGGGGCGAATTCATTTGACAATGTCACCCGGGTTTCGAGGGTGGACCCGAGAGAGGCATGGATCGGGTCAAGCCACGACGGTCTCGATCCGAAAGTGGCGGAGGCGTCTCGTGCTTCCTTCCTCTTCTAACCCCCCCACTCACTCCAATTCTCCCTCTCTCTCTCTCTCTCTCTCTCTCTCTCACTCCTCCGAGATTGTTTCTCACTCCGCATTCACCATTTTCACAGCCCACGTTTCCCTCTCTCTTCTCGAGGAGCTCCTTCCCCAAACTCTATAAGTACTCCCTCCAATTCACAAGCTTTCCAACCCTTCAAACGCGCGCGGTCCCGTTTCTCCTAGCGTCGAATCATCGCACCACCAGGCATCTCTCTCTCTCTCTCTCTCTCTCTCTGTTGCTTTCTCTTTTCTGGGTTTTGTTCTTTTCTTGTCGTGCTGGCCAAACCAGTCTCTGGGTTCCGTTTGGTAGCTCATAGAGAGAGTGAACGGGAGAAAAAATTTCGGACGGAGATTCGAACTCTTTGAATGGACAACTGGGTAATGGACGGCACGGGAGTTTGTTGAAGCAATATGAGCTTGAAATTGCTGAGTGCCCATTTTGCCTGAATTCAACGTGACCCGGCATTTGATCTGATGGAAATGTATTGTGTTGTGGCTAAAGCTTCCAGCGTTGAGCTTGGGTCGCCCCGATTAAAGTTGGTCTCCTTTGTTTTGCATGTTAGCTGACGAAATCTAGGTGCTTATACTGATTCTCGTCTTTGAATGCGGTGATGATAGTCTATGTGAAATTGTGAAATGTTTCTTGCTAAAGTAACCTCGGCTGATCCGATTATCTGGTTTCCTTCTGGTTTTGCTGCTTGAACTTGGCATCCAGATGTTAAAGCATTCGTTTTGCTTTCGATCCATATTTCAGTTTGTGAAGGAAGCAGTGAAATGCTGTGAGGGAAGAGGAATTTGCCACCGGAACTGAGCCTTTTCTGCCCTTTTTGACTCAGTCTTAGGCGTTGCATGTATTGAATTTAAATTTACATTTGTTTCCGTCCCTTGGGTTGTAGCTGTTGGAAAAAAAAAATGGCCGACTCGAAAAGATAAGGAAAAACCTTGTCTTATTTGGTATGCTTATATGAGATAAATATGTGCATCGCCTGCATTCTATTTGCTTATCTTGCGTGCTTGCAGATGTCTCTTCATCATACTACTTTGCACTGGTGTTGAATGTCACATGATTGTCTTCTGAGTTCAATATTTCTGAGATTCTTACCTTGAACTATAGGTAATAGCTGGAGCAATGGAGTGACATCAAATTCTCCTCCTGTTTGGTTCCAATCATTTGTCGTTCAATCTCAGATGCGAACTCTCACCATGTGCTTCTCAATTTTACAATTTTCAAGAGCTGGGATACCAAGATTGGCTGGTTTCTGGCGTCAAAGCTTCCACACTCGTAGTAGACCCGACAAGAATGATTCTCACTTTGCATTGTTCAGTTCAAAGACTTCTGGACTTGAAGGAGGATACAGTAGGAAATGGATGAGAAGACCAGTTTCTACAAAAACAGGGGAAAGGAACAAGACCCAAGGCAATAAACGCAGCGATGTTAGGGATGGAGTTTCGGATGCTATAGTCTCTGCAAGCACAACGTTAAACATAGAAAAAGCCGAAATAACTGAGTTCCGCAAAATTGAGTATTCTGATGTTCAACAAAAAATTGCCGAGAACAAAGAATTAGCCAGCCTCGTGACCCTAATCGTCTTTGATCTGGAGACTACAGGATTTAGTAGAGAGAGTGAAAGAATCATTGAGATTGCATTGCAAGATCTTTCAGGAGGCAAGAATAGCACTTTCCAGACGCTTGTAAATCCAGAACGTTATGTTCCGAATGCCCATATTCATGGCATTACAACCCATATGGTGAACAGGCCTGATGTTCCCAGGTATCTATTCACTTGCTAGTATGAATTTGTATGTTATCAGCTTCTGTATATGAATTAAAGTGACAAGAAAAAGATCACATCATAAAAGCTTCCTCAACATTAAAGATACTCGAATATCTTTCAAGTGGTATATTCAGATTACAGTATCTTTTATTTCTCAAAGCAGTTCATGGTTCCGATCAAGTTTAACCATGTTTTATTTATAAGAATGGTGTCCTTTTCAAGTTGTGTATTATGTTTAGCATGTTTTGATGGAGTAATCACTCTGTTGGCAAAAAGTTAGTGGCAATGGTCCTTAATCTTTTCTTCTGAGTACACTACCTGATAGAGATACCTCAGACAACTGTCACTTGATGTGCATGCTTCTCTGTTGCCTGTGCCTTTTTTTTTTTTTGGTAGTGTTGATTTAGGAAAAGGAAAAACAAATGACGAGAATTTAGTAATTGCCAAAATTGTGTTTCACTTTCGTGAGCTCCAAGGAGAACAGGTTCTCCTGTGGGGGGTTAAGATGAACCATTGGACCATGCTCGAGATTTATTGAAAAAATTTGACCCTCTTAGTTATATAAGCAGACTTGTCGTTAAAAGGATGATGTTACATGTTCACCTTAGAAGACAATAGTGACCCTTGCACACCCCTCGAAAAGCAGAAGCTTTTGTGATGGAAAGGATTTTTCATGCTTGGGGACTTGTGTAGCTGCAACAAGAAGATGGAACGTGTAGTTCTTCTTTTGAAAAAAGCTTCTTATTGTTGTTGAGTCTTATAACGGTGGTTGTTCTAGCTTTTATATTTTTATTGCCTATTCAACTGATAGTTTGGATGTCCAGTCACTATGTATTACCCACTGCTCGCGAGATTATAGCCAGTTGAGCAGGAACTGAGTGGTTTTATAGTTTGTCTTTTCTTTGGAAAATAATGAAGTGACATGAGATGGTTTCTCATTGCCGTGTTATGTGCATTATTGGCTGGATTGTCTTCTTAATGAAGTACTAAACGGATGGTTGTCTTGTTGCTCTTAACCTTCCTCAATTTTAGACATCTAGGTTTTTTGCTCTTTGGCTGAAATTATTTTCTCAGATCAGAAGTGGAATTTGCTTATGTAGGATGGCGGACTTGATACCGATATTATTCCAATTTGTGGGGAGCCGCCAAAAATCTGGGGGAGTGGTCGTGTTTATCGCTCATAATGCTCGACGTTTTGACGTGCCTTTTTTGTTGGAGGAATTTAATCGCTGCTCCTTTGAGGTTCCTGAAAACTGGCTATTTGCCGACACACTTCCTCTGGGACGTGAGATGATGAAATCTAAAGGTCTCTCTCTCTCTCTGTACATGCGGCAAATGACTTATGCACGTGCACATGAATGGTTTGCTTCACTGATGAATTCCAGTTACTGTACACATGGTAAGACTTGAATGTACTTGCCTTTTTCCGACAGGATTGAAACCTTCTTCAAGCATATCGTTGCAATCCCTTCGCGAGTATTACGGAATTCCATTGACCGGTTCAGCTCATAGGGCCATGTCGGACGTGAACTCGTTGTCAGCGATTCTTCAGAGGTTGACACACGACCTCAAAATTCTCCCCTCTGACCTCGTACAGAGATCTTTCAAAGCCACAGATCTCAACAGTGTCAAGAAGAAGAGAAGTTCTAGCTGATTCTTATCCATGCTTCATCCCCTGTTCAAGCAGATGTTCAGGAATGATGCCAGAGCAACAAGGAGGGCTGCTGCCCATGACAAATGCTGGGGCATGGAAATTTAGTCAGATTAGCAATCTGGAAGCAACCATTGTTGTAAGTTATGACCTATCGTTATTTAAAGAAATGAAATTTCAAGTGCCTTTGGGGCTATAATTGCTGTAATTTATGACCTATGATTATTTAAAGAAATGAAATTTCAAGTGCCTTTGGGGCTATAACCTCTCTCTCTCTCTCTCTCTCTCTCTCTCTCTCTCTCTCTCTCTCTCTCTCATATTTCTGCACGAGTGATTTTCCCTTGTCCTGCTCGAAGTAAACAATCATGTTACCATCCTCCATTTTTCACATATATATATACGTGGTAGAAAAACTAACATAAATAGTGCCTGAACTTTGATTAATTGTGTAATGTGGTCTCTAAATTTTTTGTACATGATCAATGTAGTCTCTAGACTCATGAAAATGTTCAATGATATTTTGAAATTTGAATTAATGCAAGAATAATATTTAACATTTTCATGCAGTTCGGGAATTAAATTGAATATATAACAAATGTCCGGTTACTATTATGAACAAATTAAAAGTTCATGGACCACATTACATATTGAGCTAAAGTTCAGGAGCAATATTGAAATACTTAAAAGTTCAGGTACCACATTGCAAGTTTAGCCAAAGTCGAGGGATCATTCGTGTCATTATTTCTATGTGGCAATAGATATTTCACAATACCGACGGCAGCACAAGAGCTCATACAATCTTTAGAGAAAGTGGGGGTTTGCAATTGGACACATAAAAAAATTCCTTACCATTTTGAACTTTGCCCAATTTAAACTGTCAGTGAATTAGCCCATCCAAGCATTAGCATGCTGGTCCCATTACACCGGGATTCCGTCACAAATTCGCAAGAACTTCACGTTCGCCCCTCGAAACTTTAACCGTTCATGTACAATATATCCCCTTAACCGTTCATTTTGGTTACGGCCCTCAGCTTCGCCGCCGCCATATTTCGCGTCGTCAGCATGTGTATACTGCGCTCCACATGAAAATGAAGACTCGCAACAGCGATTCCTCTTTTGAACGACACAGTACAGACGACAATTTGCCCTTCCATCTTTCCTATCTCGTGACCCAAAAAAAAAAAACTTTCCCTATCTGAACCGGCCGAAAGGTCTCCCAAAAGGGTAAAACCAAACCCCCAAAAAAAAAAAATGGAAAAAACGAAAAAAGAGTGGGGGGGACTTCCCAGCAAATTCCCCATTTTTCTTTTTGTATTTTCTTCTGAATTTTTTTTTTTTTGGGGGGGGTGGAGGAGGGGAGGGGGAGGAAGAAAATGGAAAAATTATAAAGTCCGGAGCACGCCAGGAGCGACGCTCCTCTGTTTCCACCGACCTGCACCTACGACCTCGTTTCCTCTATAGCTCTCTCTCACTCTCTCTCTCTCTCTCTCTCTCTCTCTCTGCTCAAACCCCCAAAATTTCCATGCCCCTGCTCCGCCATCTCTAGGGCTCTTCCCGATCGCTCCTGCTCCCCCCCCACCCGCCTCACGATCCTCTCCGGCCCGGCCCCCTCGCCGACGCGTTGCGGTGGTTGTGTGTGGGTGGGGTTGGGTCTCCGATCGCGACCGGGCGGCGGCGGCGGCGAGCGGGGACGGCTTTGGGGGTTTCGGAGCGAATCGGTGGTCGGTTACCCCCCCCCCCCCCCACACCACACTTTGACCTCCTCCTCCTTCTTTCGTGCGAAGAGCTCGGGGAGAAGCGAAGCTTGATGGACGGCGATTCGTGGAGCGCGCGGCTGTCCTCGGCCTCGAGGCGGTACCAATCCGCTCTCCAATCGAGATCCGGTGAGCTCGCTCGCTCGCCTTCTCTGTGCATGGCGGTCGCTGATGGAAGCGGCCGATCGTTTCTGTTGTTGTTTTTTTTTCTTTTGGAAATTCCGGGAGTGACGCGTTTCATCCGTTTCTTGAGGATAGCGAGGTCGGTCGTGTCTTGTTCGTGCCATCGCGAGAGAGTGTTGCTTTTTTTGTCGTCTCTTGCTTTGCCTGCTCCGTCGCCTGGAAAGTAGACGGAAAGAAGAGATGGGCTTTGTGTTTTCGGTTCATTTGTGTTGCCTTTTTGGTTGAACGCATTTTGTTTCTCTAGAGCCAGCCGCTTAGACCGCGGTGATTGATAGAGCAACTGCGGTGTGGATAGATACGGGAGAGGGTATATAGCATTAGCATGCGAAAGTCAAATCTGGCAGATAAAGAAGTAAAATTTCTTTTCTCCAGTTGCCTCGTCTAGACTGTTTTCCGAAATGTTCAATTTTGCCTCTAGCGTCTTCGTTTTGCTCTTATGCCCGACAGTTAGAGCATTCTGTCTCGTCTTATTTATATGGCGAAATCTCTCACAGTGGTTGAGTTGAGAGAGTGAGCGAACCCCATAAAATTTGGGCTTTCCTCATTCTCTAGGCAAGGCTGATGGTTATTTATGTATTTCGAAGGTTGTGATTGCGGTGCGCTTCTCTGCTTATCTAATGTGATGGGATTGTGTGGATGCAGATATGTTTATGGGGTTTGAAGAATTCGATGGAGATTATGATATAAGAGAGGAGTTTCCTTGCCCATTCTGTTCCGAGTTCTTTGACATCCTGGGCTTGTGCTGCCACATAGATGATGAGCACCAGTCGGAGGCAAAGAATGGGGTATTCCTGAAATTCATATGTTGATGATAACAACATCACACAGTTTATTTCTAACATGTTAGGTTGTTTGCAAGGTCACCGTATATACACATGTCTTGCCTGATGAAGGTCTTGCAATTTCTTGATATGTCACAAATAAGTGAACCAACTTCTTCGTTAATCTTGGCGATGACTCAGTTCTTAACTGTGGAAAGTTTGTTATTATTTATTTTTTCATTGGGATTTCCTTGAGAGGCCCCAATGTCTTTCATGGCGTCAGTCTCTAGTGCACTTAACTGAATGCTTCGACTGATTTGGAGAACTCAGTGCAAGCAATAGCTGTGGCCTTTCAGTTAATCATTTGCACTCAAAAAGAAATTGCAGTAAAGAGATAAAAGAAGAGAGGCTCACATTTGGAAGATTGTGAAAAACAGAAATTGCAATCATAGAATGTTTAATTGGATAAACTTAGTTAACATTCAGGTGAAAGGCTTGTTAGCATTCATGAGTGAGTATCCTCCAACAAGTGAGCTTCAATTTGAAAATAGTAAGAAGGATGCTAAATACAATCTCCCGTTCTAGTGGCATCGCAACTGTATCTTGCCTTAAATAATTTATTCGTTCAACAAAATTGTTATCTTGGTAAAGAATGTGTCGGAAGTGGGAATTTGAAACATCCACCTTCTCCATGAAGAAAGGCAGTAGGACCGCCAGCTCGACTAGGTTCTTATGTTTAAGCGGTGGACCGATTTATAATTTTAAGATATTATTCGTCTAACTTCGTCAACCAACTCTGACTGGTTTCTTAGGTTAGTCCGTCTATATACAAAACATCGGTGTTCTGGCAAACCATTGTTTTAGTTGGTAGCTAGGGTGCTTTCAGCAATGACGGGATTATATCTGTAAATGGTTGTGTGGCGTGCATACATGGCTCGGTCACAGCAATTATGTATTTGTGTGCTAAAACCATGACTATTAGAATATGTGAAAGAAAGCATGTCAAACTCTCCTAACTGATTGAGCTCTGTATTGCAGGTTTGTCCAGTTTGTGCAATGAGAGTGGGGTTCGATATGGTTGCACACATTACCTTACAGCATGGAAATATTTTGAAGATATCCTTTTTTAAATCAATACTTGCACTCTTTCCTTACATGCTATCGCGCACAATCTATTTGCTATATCTTCTTTGCTCCACTTGCAATAAGCTATTTATTTGATTTTAGTTGCTTTACATGAAGGTGCTGAATTGTGACGCACCTTGCTTTCTTTTCTAACTTCCACTTCCTGTGGATGACGCTTGGTACTAAAATTCACTTTAGCCTCCAAGTTTCATCTAGTTTTTTGCAGTTTCTTTGTGTAGTTGCCACACGATACTTTGAAACTGGGCCTTTGGATTACCTAGATTATGACTTATGAGGATGATAGGACCATATTGATGTGTGCTCCTAATTCCAATTGATCATTGCTGATTCACCATTTTAGTGTTTATGGTCAATTTTCCAAATCATGCATTTCTCCAATCTGTCGCATCGTTCCGTGACAATTATAATGTCAAGTACGCTCAACAACTATGTTCCCTTAACGAGGAGTTACATGCAGCGTAAGAGGAAATCACGTAAAGCTGGATCTCACTCCACACTTTCTTTGTTGAGGAGAGAACTACGAGAAGGGACTCTCCATTCCCTTCTGGGGGGCTCGTCCAGTATGCCTTCTTCAACAAATGTGGCTCCAGATCCCTTGTTATCATCCTTTATTGTGCCTGTTGCTGGGAATCTCTCCAGTTCTCAGCCATCCCTTCAAATATATTCAAGCTCAGCCAAGAAAAGTTTGAATGAAAATGTGGCAGAAAGGTGTGTTACTGCTCCAGGGAAATACCTTTTCTTTTAGCTGTCTTCTCCTGTCGATTGTTATAGTGCACTGCATGATCTTCTACACAATTATTTGGAAGTTACTACAGCATGTAGCATGAGTTTGAAGGAAGTGAGATGCTTTTGAGTTCGGCTGTTGGTGGATAGCAAATTATGGTCCCGTATGAGTTTTTTAGGTTGACTAGGTTGACGGAATCTATAAAAATTATTCAACAGGCTCTTCTGCGGTCCGGTAATGAGTTACTTTTCAGTTATATTACCCGGTCCTGCTGGAGCTTGTCAGGGAAAGCACTGTTCTTTTTGTCATAGTAATTTTCTTTCTTAAAAATGAGGGAAAAGGGGTGCTTCAGCCGTATGAAGAAAGTTGAGCTCACACATAGATAATAAGAGCGTGAATAGTCAACACTTTGGTTGAACGTTTCATCACTTGTCTTGTGAGAGTGGTGTTCTTGTTTCTAATGTGTGCAATTTTGTTGGTGCCAGCCACAGTCAAGCGTCGCCTTTGTCGGACAAGGATCGTGAAGAGAGGGCAAAAAGAAGTGAATTTGTGTCTGAGCTATTATGGTCCACCGTCATCGACGACAACTTATGAGTAGGTGCAGAATGGTGGGTGATCTGGAGCTTACGTGACCAAGAATCCGGCCTTGCAATCTTTATGGTCGGCCCGGGGTGAATGTGTTATCTGCTGATGTATTAAAATAGGAAGCGAGAGAATAAGTTTTATAAGCTAAAATGTAATTCATTGCTTGTCGACTTCGGTTTAGGCCCGAGGAAAAATTGTTGTATCGTCCATGTTTGTTATTAATTATTGTTAAGTTTAAATGAGAATGAAGTGCTTTGACGTGCATAGCTCCTGTGTGATGCTTGGACCTCTCAAAGCACTTTTCTTTCCGTCTATGTATATAATGTATTATTTATATACTCATCAAAGCACTGTCGAAAAAGCAAGAAATACGAGTAAGAATCGCCAAGTACTAGGAATGGAGTGTGGGAAGGATTTTTGCGGCGCCATGTATCGCATTCGAGCATTGTGCATTCAGGCATTGTTATATTCATTCAAGTGGAAAGATATTCAGTCGCTAGATGACATCTTCCTCTGTTTCCAGTGACCAAAATAAGACCAAATCACAGTACATACAAACGAGTAACATTGCACGCATTTCTGACTAGGTTCGAATGTCCGAATTGTGAGTCAGCCAACTCTTATTCCATTGAATTAGATGCAAAAGACATAGGACAACCGCCTGGGAAGAAAAAGGAAGTGCTATTGAGATTGATTGACCAACCTCTTTCCAAAAATAGGACCCCTTCAGCCAAAAATAAATATCATCAATGTAATCACAGAAAAATGGATCCTCTTGGGACCATGAACAGTCAGTCTAGTATCAGTATGGACAAAAATCCCCCCCTACTTCTCATCTAAATCCCCCCCAAAAAAGAAGGATGCACGTGCAAAAGTGGCTGCCCATGTTTTATCAATTCCTAAAGACCTAAACTCAGCCACCGCGGTGGTAGTCTCGTGTTCATTATGTTTTGGGTTACGTCTCTGACGAAAACATCGAAACATGTCGAGCAAACTCCTCTCATCAGACTTGTCTGTCCAGTGGCTATTTTGTCTATGTGGGAACAAACGGACGGCGGAGGGATCGTGTAGACCTCGCTCCTCCTGTGCTCAAGGCCGCAAGCAGCCAAGACGGTATGAGTGGAACACCTCGCTATTTCCTTAAACTCACCATGACCTGCATTGACGATGATTATTGATAAGTTCACCACACGCAAGGCACTTTGCCCACCCAGGAAACAACAAATGCAATAAGCACTTGAAAGAAAGCATCATAAAAGAGAACAAGCACGGTATTTTAGAGCATAAAATGTATAATAATAGGACCAAAAATCTAGTAGAACATATATATAACTCGCATACCTAAACTGATTTCTCTCGAAAGGCTTTTCAAATGGCTTTTGACCATCGATTGCAATTCCTCTTTTGCTCTATGAAATTGGCTGTCTTCTCTTCCTCCATAAGGAGATGCAGCCCCATCAGAACCGAGGCTGGATCGGCTACTGGACTGATGATGCTGGTCAGCACCTATAGCTGAGCTCATCCCTGCACGTTCGTCCAGAAGTGCCCGGCCAGAAGTACTGGGAGTTGGAGGGGTAAAAGTAAGGTCATGGTCGTTTACTGCGTGCCTTTTCGAGTGACCTGCTCCCAAATCAAAGCTATCCCTACTTCGAACCAACGGTGACTGATTTTCCTGTACTCTCTCCTCGAATAGATTAGCATAGGACTCTCTCGTTTCTTGAGCTGTATGATGAGATCCCATTTGCCTACCTTGATCAATGGGATAATTTAGTGGTCCAAACCGAATACTAGCAGAAGTCGTTCCATCTGCTCTTACAGCCACAGGACTTGGTCTATTTCCAGAGCGCATCTGCTGAATCTGACGAAATAGCCATCTCCTTCCCGATAGTGTGGGAGCTCCTGCTCCAGACAGCGGCGGTGTTGCTTGGCTGAATCCACCAGGAAACCTAGGAGACTGAATATTCCCATATCCTAAATTATACAATGGATGGGGTGAAGGAGCCACATTGAGGTCAAAGCTTTCCACGGCATTGGCAGTGGGCAACGGTCTGCTAGACAAACTCATACTTGTCATCCTTTGATTGGGCAAAGCGTCTTGAGCAGGAGAACTTGAAGATCCAAGGGCAACGGGCCTGCAGCCATCGCAGTACCAATTGCCTTCGGGTACTTCCCTCCCGAGACCGACGCAGTATGTATGTGCCGGAGAATCACAGAGGTCACATAAAAGCATAAGACCATCATCCCCGCCTTGTTGACACTCTGTACAAATTACATTCTCATATGGATCGAGATAACCCCTAATTTCTTCTTCACTTGGCTGATAGACCTGTGGAGACAACATGGCATTTAATATCCAGAAATACCAAAACAACACGTAAGTCTAAAACGTCAAGAGCATGCCTGTCGCAGAAAAACCAACGGTGAAGGATCAAGCAAAATGATACCTGATCACGCTCTGGTACTGGTACCACAACATCTCTCAAATCTATTCCTGCAGTTGATCTCGCAGGTTTACTAATGGCCCGAAATCTCTGTTTGCATAAAGGGCAACGAGTTTCCACCTTTGACCATTCCATGACACATTTGAAACAGAAATAATGGCCACAGCAGTCTAATCTTCCTCGAACCCTTCTTTTGTCCTCTTCTGACAGGCAAATTCCACAGACTTGCTTTACAATGTTTACTTCTTCCACCTTCTCTTTTCCCTTTATCACAATAGGCTTTGTCTGTTCATCTGGATCGTGATTCTCTTTTGTCCCATTACTGATAGATGAACTTCTCAAACAAAAACATCCAGCCTTCTTAAGTCTCTTGGAAGATAATGAGCTCCTTGAGGAAGGTTTCAAGTCCCCGCAGTACTCATTTGCTTCTCTCACCTGTTCTCTCTCTTCCTCGGAAATAGTGTAGTCACAACCAGATGACCCAGAACTCATAAAATCTGAATCCGACGATGCTACATACCTCCTCTTTCTTCTTCCCGAACTATTCTTCCTTTTTTCTCTCCAAACATTATGCGTCCCTACAAAATCAACGTCATCCTCATCGTCGCCGTCATTGTCGTCAGCAAATTTGGGTTTCTTTTGCACCACGCGACGCTTCCTTGCCATCTTCCTTGAAGGGTTTCTTGAAGTTGATGATTTCTTCCTCTTTCTATGACCTCTAGAGACCTTTCTCTGCAAACCTCTTCCACCCAACTTCCTTCTTGCGGTGTTCACTTTACTCCTGTAGCTCTTCTTTGCCACAGAATCTTCTTCATCATCCAAATAGTCATCTTCATCTGGCGCAAATTCATCATCATCTTCCTCATCGTCCTCGTCATTCACATCAAATTCCTCATCATCTTCTTCAAAGGAATCACTACCTTTCTTCAGTGATATTCTATTCCCAGCTTTCCTCTGTCTGGAGGACCCTGAATTTGGTTTTGATTTTGAATTGACAACCTTTTTCATATCTTCCTCCTCCTCCTCTCCCTCCTCCTCCTCATCCTCCTCATCCTCATTCACGTCGTCATCGTCTTCATCAGCACCGCCCGCACCATTTCCATCATAATCTTCATCGTCCTCATCCTCGTCCTCCTCCTCATTTTCATCTTCCACGAAAGCATCAATGCTATCCTCTAATGCAGACACCTCTAGTTCCCCCACAGCATCCTCGGATGCATCGGTTTCTTCATCAGATACTACATAATCCTCGTCTGAATCGTCAGAACCTTGGTCTCTAGACTTCGCCCTTTTCTTCGGGTTTCTCTTGCAACCAGCCTTCCCTCCCCTTACCATCTGTTTCACCAAATGCAGGGAGAAAATAAAAAGACAAGCTACCAGCTTTAACAAATCTAAATCAGAGGCCCAAAATCAACAGAAAGAATTCACACCATGGTCTGAGCGTCTACAACATCAAATCGTATCAAAACGGATCTCCAGATTTCACATCAAAAAATGTTTCCTTCGCAGTATCCCAAGACACAATCAGTCAACCACCAATTCCTCCCCGTCCCCCCCCCCCCCCCCCCTGCCACATCTCTTTCGATCTGCTCCAACATAGATTAAAGCTAACGCAAAACCCAGAAACCGCAAACCAAATCCAGATCAATCACATCAAGATTGAAAACAATCCGGCGGCGCAGACCAAGATTCCCATGAACAAAGGGCCGAAATAACGCGTACCCAGAAGCCCAATTCAGAGAAAGATGGGATTGCTCAACCCAGACAAAGGGCGGACACAGTCGAACATCACGGACAACAAGCAAAGAAAGAGACCCGGAAACGAGAGCACGAGCCTCGAAATTCCCACCACGAAAGCAGAGAGCAATCGAACTAATGCGATTCCACGCCCCACCCCACGCATGAACGGACCCCAAATTCACGAATCAAAGCGTCGTTGATGACAACGAGCTGAGAAGAGAAAGAGGGGATTTGCTCACCTGTGGAGAGAGAGAGAGAGAGAGAGAGAGAGAGGAGGGGCTGGCGAAAAAGGAAAAGAGGCTTTCCGTAAGTTCAAGCGAAATTGAGTTCCTTGTATTTGCGCAAAATCCAATCTTTTTCCTCGCTTTTTTTTTCCGTTTATTGAATTTTGGGGAGCTTCTTTGATGCGTTACCTCGTTGTTCTCTCTTCTTATTCATGCTCGAAAGAGGGAGAAGAAAAGAAAGAAAGGCCCCCAAAAAAAAAAGCAAAAAAGAAAACAACTGTTCGATATGCGGACGCGACAGGGCAAAAAGCCCGTCATCGGTGCGGAATTACGGGAATGCCCCCCCCCCCCCCCGTGGAGATCAGGGCGCAGGTTTAACCACGGATTCAATCATTGGGATTTTTGTGATTAATTAGCAACGTATCTGGGGGCCCCACCACACCACGCCCCTCTTTTCCTCTCTATTTTAATTAAATTTTGTTTTCTCTTCTTCTTCTTTTTTTTCATTTTTTTTTTCCCCCCTAAAAAATCATCGGACGAACATTATCGTATTTGCAAGTGACTTTATTAAAGAGCTGGGATTAAGATTGATCTATGCTGGGGTGTATTTGGAATTGCATTTAAAAATCTTTCGTTAATGAAATAGAGTAAAAAGAAAACCGATCACTCGACGTGTGGATCTTCCTTGCATCGAAACCCCGTGAGAAAATCGGGCCTTCTTCTTTAATACGCGAGCGCGATTTCTCTAAACAAATTCGTGCATATATATTATGCACGGAGTTAATGAAATTTCGTGAAGCCCGGTGTTTTTTTTTTTTTTTTGAATCACGCGAAAGTAGATATATACTGCGAGATATTTGACTTTACGGTCTTGACGACGACGACGAGACTGAAAAAGGGTAGGAAAGG